GGTACAGGATCATATCATGAGCAAAGAGGGATAACTTGACTTCTTCTTTTCCTATTTGGATACCCCTGATTTCCTTCTCTTGTTAAATTGCCCTAGATAGGACTTCCAACACAATGTTGAACAAGAGAGGTGAGCGTGGGCAGCCTTATCTTGTTTCAGTTTTCGGGGGAAATGCTTCCAGTTTCTGTCCATTTAGCAATATGTTAGCTGTGGGTCTATTGTAGATGGCACTTACTATTTTTAGGTATGTTCCTTGCATACCTAGGTGTTTGAGGATTTTTATCCAGAAGGGATGCTGGATTTTATCAAAAGTTTTTTCTGCATCTAGTGATATAATCATATGGTTCTTGTTTTTGCATCTGTTGATGTATTTAATGACATTTATGGTCTTGCAAATGTTGAACCAGCACTGCATCCTGGGGATGAAACCTACTTGGTCATGGTGGATGTGTCTCTGAGATGTGTTTTGGATCCGATTTACTAGAATCTTATTGAGGATTTTTTCATTTATGTTTATAGGGGATATTGTCCTGTCATTTTCTTAATTTTTTGATTTTTTTGTAGAGACTAGGTCTTGCTCTATTGCCCAGGCTGGCCTCCAGCAGTCCTGGGTAAGGCATGGTCTTGGTCCTTCGGGGCCTTTGTTCTTTTAATACCTACTGAACACTTTCAGTGTTCCAAATACCGTGCTTAGAAAGCTAGGGAGATATACGTTCAGTGTTATCCTTCCTATCTACATTCCCTGAATGCTATGTCATGGCAAACACTTCTCTGCTCTCAGGCAGCTCACACTCCAGTGAAGCAGATAAAACCGTGCCAAGTAGCTATAACTCAGTGTGGCAGATGCTGTGATTCCAAAATGTCCGGAGAGAAAAGGATCCACTGGCCAGGAAGAGGGAGAGGTTGATTTCTTGTCTCTGAGAGGAATCCAAGGCAGCACCTAGGCCTGGAGCTTAACTTAGCCAGGGATGGGACTGAGAGTGGAATTTATGGCATCCGCCTGGGAGGTAAGTACTATCTGCGTGTTACAGTTTAGACCTTGAGTCTCTGAGAGGTTAAAGAACTTTCTAGATATTACATAGAACTCCTGAGCTCCAGCGATCCTTCCACCTCATTCTCCCACAATGCTCGGATTATAGGTGTGAGCCTCTGTGCTCAGCCAACATCCAATTTCAGTGACTACCAATTCAGGCCAAGTTTTGTTTCTTTCATACCAGTGTGTCTCAACAGAAGCACTACTGACACTTTGAGTCAGGTAATTCTTTTTTTTTTTATTTTTTATTATTTTATTTTATTATTTTTTTTCATTAACAGTATTTTTTATTATGGTTTTGTGGGGTACAGTTAAGGGTTAGGTGTACAATGATGTTTCATTCAGGCACCCTGTAGATAAGAAGTGTTTTCCCATCCCCCGACAGATATTTGCTACTGTTAATCCCATCCCCTCCCCCCCATAGTTTCCAGTAGAGTCAGGTAATTCTTTGCTGGAGGAACTGTCCTGTGCATTGTAGGTTTCACAGCATTCCTGGCCTCCACTCACTAGCTGTAAGTAGCACCCTCTCCTCAGCCAGGTTGTGACAATGGAAAATGTCTCCAGATGCTGCCAGATGTCCTCTGGGGGACAAAATCACCCCTGGTTGAGAACCACTGATCTATACCTCATCGGTGTCACAGGCAAGGAGAATGCCATTTCAGTTCCTGACACTTGTTTCCCCTAGTCCTGGGACCCACCCTTCTGAATAGTGTCATTTTATGTAAAGTCACACGATGGAGTTCATGGGAAGCAGGAGTAATATCTCATTGACCTCTGAACAGCCCATGAAGAGTAAGTGCTCTGTGAACATTGGGTGAATTTAATTTGTTCATATTTCCTACTGATTTCTGAAGTTTTCTACAAGGAAGTTTGAGATTTTCCTACAAATCTGAATTGATTCCATGAGTTGTTTCCTGCGAAGAGTTTGAGGTCCTGCTTCCCATGAGGTAATCTGCCTTATTAGGAAGGGGAAGGGATATGGCTCTCTGGGGACCAAGCTTCTCTCACCTGATCACATGTCTCCTCCCCCTCGTGTCTCTTAAGTAGTGTGAACTCAAGGTTGAGCTGCCAGAGTTCTTAGTTTTCCTTGGAGCACCTGGAAAGCAAATCTACTTTGCTCTTGCTTTAAATCGGGTGGGATTGAGACCCCAGTGGCTTTGTCTCAGCATTCTCAAGCCTGGGACTGCAGGGGAGCAGACCCTCCATCCGGGGATTCCTGAGAGGCAGGAGTTCTGGTTCATAGCTTGGTCATTTGTCTTGCTTCTCAACTGGTGAACTGGTAAATCTGCGTGAGCCAAAGGGTGTTCTGAGGGCATTGTTGCATCTCTGTTGTCAAAACAGAAAAAGTAACTGTGGTGAGATCAGTAAAGCCACAAAAACACTGGGGAGAGTTTTGTGACCAGGGGCTTCTTTTGCATGTGATGGTTGATTCCACTTTGAAAGCAAAGAATATGGTGGCAGAAAGGATGTGGCACTTTGCAAAATGCTCTTTGAGGCAAGCACAAGTGCTAGGCCCTGGGGTTCAGAGATGGAGAAGGTATGGTCTTGGTCCTTGGGGCCTTTGTTCTTTTAATGTTTACTGAACACTTCAATGTATCAAATACTGTGCTTAAAAGATTAGGGAGATATATGTTCAGTGTTATCCTTCCTCTGTACGTTCACTGACTGCGATGTCATGGCAAACCCTTCTCTGCTCTCAGGAAGCTCACACTCCAGTGAGGCAGATGGCCGTGCCAAACAATTAACTCGGTGTGGTAGATGCTGTGATTCCAAAATATCCTGAGAGAAAAGGGGTCGCTGGCCAGGAAGGCCTACGATGGGGGAGGTCGATTTCTTGTCTCTGAGAGTAATCCAAGGCAACCCCTAGACCTGGAGCTTAATTTAGCCAGGGATGGGACTGAGAGTGGGATTATGGTATCTACCTGGTAAGTACTATCTGTGTGTTACAGTTTAGACCTGGAGTCTCTGAGAGGTTAAAGAACTTTCTAGATATTACACAAATGCTACCAAAAAAACCCACCTAAACGTGAACCCATAATTCCAGATTGCTAGTGGTGCTTTCTTCTGCCAATAGCTTCTTGGTAAAATTCCCCATCTGATTTGAGAGTTTGGGACTAGTCTCTCTTTTCTCTTTCTCCCTGTAATTGTAAGCTCTATAAATGATTTCCTTCAGGCTCACGGTGATCTTTAATCACTGAAGGAAGGAAGCATTGTGGTAGGAGCAGAAATGACCTGGCTCCGGTGGCAGTCTTGCACGGGGCTGCACTGTCAGCCTGAGACCCACGTTGGTGACCTAGGATGTTATGGTGTCCTGGAACTCAGGGGTGCCTGATAGCTGCATGGAGCCCCGAGGAGAGTAACAGCTCTTAGTTCCCCTATTCATGGCTCTGGCTTGGAGAATCCCCAGTGGAGGACACATAGCTCCTGAGAACTTGGGGATGCTGACAGCCGTGGAGAAGTGTGACAGCTCTCAGCTCTTTCTGAGAGGTCAGGAAACATTACAGCTCTCTTGTCTGGATGAATTCCAGGTTTTTGTCTCAGGATTGAGAGGAACAAGGATGGAGGTCATGGGAGGGTGAGCAAGTTGCAGTTTATGCAGGAGAGCAAGTGTTAGCATCTCTCACAGCAAGAGGGAGCCCCAAGGGGGTTGCTGCAAGTGGGTTGCTGAGACCAGAGGTTTATATAGTACTTGGGGGAGTGTGGTGATTGGTTGGAAGTAGGGACTGAAAATACACTAACCTAATTGGTCAGTAGTAAGGCCTGAAAAGTGGCATGATAGTGTAAAGGCCCAATGGGGAGAGTGTTGAAAAAGGGTCAATTAGGAAAAGGTGTGAGAAAAAGAGAGAAAGCAAGTGAAAATGGAATGGGTGTGGTTTTTGTCCAGAGCCTGCTGCTTGCAGCTGTTTCTCCAGGTAAAATGAAGTCTTACAGGAGACCTTCCCCAACTGTCTGTCTAACCGGTTTCTTCCTTTCTCCCCTCTCAAGTGTTCTGGGGTCTTACTGCAGGGAGGGTCTGTGTGGATACACACAGACCTCAGCCACTTTGGGCGAAGTCCAGTATGGACCGGGAACAGTCTGCAAATCAGCCAGTGAGCAGTTTTGGTGATGCCCTGAGGTGTTGAAAGCCTGGGCTGTGTAGAAGGATGTGTCAGAGCATGAGTGGGCTCTTGGAGGCGGGTGTTGGACCTTTGTTGCCACTGGGGACATTGATCCAAGGAAATGAAGGTGCCAGTAAACAGGAGAATTGTGCATGGATTGAACTAGACATTTGGAAGGGAATAAGTGATCAAGTGTAGAAGGAGAGAATTGGAGGGAGAAGCAGAAATAAGAGGGGTACTGAGTGTCAAGGGAGGTTTACCACAGATATCTTTTCTGAAGACTCTGAAGGGTATGTGGGAGGTTGAGGACATTTCTGGAAACTGAGGATAGAAAATAACAAGGAGAAGTGGGATGAGGGAAAGCTTCAGGCACAAGATAATTAAAAGCATTCAAAGGCAATAGAAATATATCTAACATGGAGATGGTAACACTACCCTGGCTACCCCACCTTGTCCACTGGAGGGACTTATTACCTTCCTGATAGGTGTCTTCCTCTGGTCTGTTTCCACTAGTCCGTGCTGTACATACAAAGTGAGTTTACTTTTCAGTTGATGAACATTCTTAATGATTCCCCCTTGTTGGCAGGGTAAACCCCAGAGTCCCCAACAGTCCTTCACAAATTGGTACTAATCTTTGTCTCCAACTTTATTTTTTGCTATTCTCCTCTTTATCCAGCCATAAACGATGCATTTCTGCCTGCTGTCTGTCTTCTTGGAATGTTTTTCCCTTCTTCTACGTGTAACTACCTTGTATTCCTCTTTCAATATCCAGCTTGTAAGTGTCTCAGATATGCAAGTGCTTTTATGTTATTCACCCACTCAGTGAACAAGTCTTTTGTTCTGTATTATTTCAGATCACATCACCCAAATTGCTGCTTCTTGGTGGTGACCACATGGTGAATATGCACAATATGACTGAATTTATTTTTCTGGGACTCTTTCCCAACCAGAAGGTGCAGAGAGTTTGCTTCGTGATATTTCTGCTCTTGTACACAGCGACTGTCCTGGGGAATTTCCTCATTGTGATCACTGTCATGACCAGCAGGAGTCTTGGTTCCCCCATGTACTTCTTCCTCAGCTACCTGTCCTTTGTGGAGATCTGTTATTCTTCCACTACAGCCCCCAAACTCATTTCAGATCTGCTGACTGAAAGGAAAACCATATCTCTGTGGGGCTGCATGAGTCAGTGTTTCTTCATGCACTTCTTGGGTGGCACTGAGATTTTCCTGCTCACTGTCATGGCCTATGACCGCTATGTGGCCATCTGCAAGCCTCTCAACTACACCACCATCATGAATCGGCAGGTGTGTGCTGTCCTCGTAGGCATAGCATGGGTGGGAGGCTTTGTGCATTCCTTTGCCCAAATCCTTCTTGTCTTCCAATTGCCCTTCTGTGGCCCCAATGTGATCAACCACTACTTCTGTGACCTGCTTCCCCTTCTCAAACTTGCCTGCTCTGACACCTTGCTCACTGGTCTGCTGATCGTTGCCAATGGGGGAACCCTGTCAGTGATCAGCTTTGGTGTCCTTTTAGTATCCTATGTGGTCATCCTGCTCCATCTGAGGACTCGGAACTCTGAGGGTTGGCACAAAGCTCTCTCCACCTGTGGGTCCCATGTCACCATGGTTGTCTTGTTTTTTGGGCCCTGCATCTTCATCTATCTGAGGCCTTCTACCAATCTGCCTGTAGACAAGATGGTGGCTGTGTTTTACACAGTGATAACCCCACTCCTCAACCCTGTCATCTATTCCCTGAGAAATGCTGAAATGAAGAAGGCCATGAAGAAGCTATGGATCAGGACAATGAAACTAAATAAGAAATAGAGGCTGAGTCTCTGTATTGATCCTTGGTTTCAGAATGATGCTGAGTCCAAACTAAAGGAGCAGAACGAGCTGAAGGAAAGTTCACAGGTTTTGTTAACTCTAGAGTTATTCTACTAAGTGTTGTCCTTCTTCAAAAGCTTCCTTTTGATATTTCTGCTCTTGCACACAGCGACTGTCCTATATTTCTGCTCTTGTACACAGCGACTGTCCTCCAGGACACTCGCTGTGTACAAGAGCAGAAATATCACTTGTAAAATATTTCCACTTATGGATGTACTAATTTTTACTACAATAAATAATAATATTCTTGAATGGAAATCTTTATTCTCTGATTTTCTTTATTTTGGGGGGGTTTTCTTTCTATAGTGATTTTAGCGTTAAAGACCTTTGATGCACAGTGTCAAACTGAATCACCTAGCTTGTGAAAGTGCTCTTGACAAAATTGAACCCTGTCATTATACACTTTTTGATGAGAAATAAGATTTTACATCATCTTAAAGTCTATTCTCATAAGACACTTATTAATTACAAAGGGAAAAAATGTAGCTTTATGGTCGCCCAAGTGAACATCACAAGGAACGAGGCAAATTGACACCATGGTGCCTCTTGATAAGATGCACTGGAGAGGTATCCAGTATTGTTACTGTGGTATTCCTACCAGAAATATGTAACCTGAGTCTAATCATAAAAAAATGAAGGAAACTCAGATTGAAGAACATTCTGCAATTTTTTTTGTCCTTTGCTCTTCCAAAATGTGAAGACAAAGAGAGATTGGAGAATTGTCCCACATTAAAGATAACTAGTAAAGGCAACATGTTCTTCTGGATATTATTAGATAAGGGACATTAGTGGGGCAAAACTCTATAAATGAGATAATAAAATTACACGAATGTCAATTTCATGGTTTTGATAATGATACTGTGTATATCTCAGAGAATGTCCTGGGATTAGGAATCATTTTTTGAGGTATCTAGAGATAAAGAGACAAAATGTTGGCAGCTCTCAAACATTTCAGAAAAAATTATTTTTATTGTATAATATATATTCCAAATGAGCAACTTGCTGTTTTGATATACACATACCATACAAGAGAGGACCTCCCCAAAATAGTAATTTATTTATAAAAATTGTGTATTTACTCTTACATGGTTAAATTTCAGTCACTTTCAAAATACTCTCTGTTTGATGAAATACATCAATCAAGACACTTTTTCTACTGCTCAGTTTTTGAACGTTGCTGGAGACCAGCTCCAGCCGGGTTCGGGGTACCCCAAAAGTGGAGACAGCATCGATGATTGGGGGGAAGAAGAGAGAAAGAGGGAGAGAGAGAAAGAAAGAGACTGGACTCCGGTCTAGTGCAGAAGCGATGTGAGTCATTTTGGGAATTACAACAGGTCTTTTATACACAAAGTCAGATGCGGGAGGGGCGTCCCCCACCCACCAGAAACCTTAATCCATGAAAACTTAATCAATGATTGCCTTTAAACCCTTTTCATATGATAATCTTAAAATCCCATAACAAAGGATAACCTAATCCATGACTGACATATTCTATAAACCTTTTTCATCCTAAACTGATTGATTTATGCCAAGTTAAACAATTCCATAGAAGCTTAAGTATTTACTTTGCAAACGAAAGTGGCCCATCCCAGAATGTTTAGAATGTGACCCAGTCCAAAGTTCACAGTGGGCTGCCTGCAAGTAATCCAGCCGCATTCTTTCAATAGAATGACTGTCTTCTAAAACTATATTCTACACAATTGACACCTTATTCAACTTCAGTGAATCCTGAGATCACAACCCAGAAGCCTGTGACCAATACTAAGGCTGTTAGATGTGACCCAAGTTTGAATTGCAAGTTGTGTGAAAGCCGAAACCGCAGTTTGTGGAAGAATGGGAGCAATGAGCTTCTAAAGTGAGCTTGTGTTCATTTCGGTCTCAGAGTTTTTATGTTTGAGCTTATAGGAGCTTAATCTGGTTGGTGCTGAGTAGAAAGGGGGAGGAAATGGGGTCAATAGCTCCCAAATGCATCCTAGTGGTCTCGGGGTCAACGGCCCTTCATGATTCCTAATGCTCCCTGATCCCTAATGCTCAGTGGCTGGCTCCCAATATCTCCTCCTTTTTTATTTTTTAGCACAAAACCATGAAACTCCATATTGCTCTTCTTTAGCACTCTGAAGATGATTGGGAGTAAACAGTAACAAAAGAATCACTGCTCCACAAATTCCCACATTGATGAGTATAGACGTTAATGATTTTTGATTAGCAAATGATGCCTGAATTTCTTGATGTAATTTAGTAAGGTCTATACTCAGGTCTGAATGGTTCCAAATTCCAAGTTACTTTGTCCCAAGTATGGACAGATTTAAACTCAGAGTGACATTGGAGAGCCAATTTCTTTTTTAAGGTCATAAGTTCTTGCCCTACTGCTAAAACTCCTTCTTCCTCCAAAGCACTAACATCACTTTCCAAATTCTGGTCTATGATTTCCTGAATAGCTATGGCAATAGAAACATTTTTAGACAGCCGATCAGCAAATGTAGTTGTATGAACTTCCCTAGATAATGCTATGGCTCAAAAGTAGCTATTGAAGCTGTAACTCCTAAAATTAAAAGTAGTCAAAAATCTTTTCTGTCTTTCTAAAAGAGCATTAGCCTCATACAATGTCTGTAAACCATATGCATCATACCAACGAGATGACATTATACAAGAATCATCAAATAAGATAGCTGCTCAAGAATAACAAAATCTTTGTAAAAGGCATTAGTTAAACAATTAGTTAAAAATACACTCAGTACAATACACCTTATAAACATTGCTATGATACTCAATTTTAACAAATTAGTACTTATTTCATACTAAAAACACATAAGAGAACTGCAAGCATCCCTAATGTGGTACTGCTGAGTTTGTCCAAAAGGCCTAGACAGGTTGACTGGTTGAAGGGTTGCGAGGGCTCTCCACAAATGAGGTTGGATGGCTTGTCTGGTACCCATTCATTGGAGTGCCTTCTAGTTGCAGCAAGCATAGAGCCATTAAAACCCCAGTCACTAATATATAGTCTTTCACCAGGTACAGTATAATCCACCTTAGAGTTATAAGCACAGTATCTCCATTTCAGGAAGCCAGTATCTCACTGGACGAGTAACCAGTCCTTTCCCATATCATTGAAGGGGCAAGCAGGTACGCTGAGAGGTGGTGTCCATTAAACACAATTGAACAGTTAGGGTCACAGCTGTGATTGAGCAAAGACTTACTAGGATACAGGCCAACACCCACTTCCTGCATCTCTGCAGTACAGATGGTGAAAGAGTTGCAGATCACCTTGTCCTGGGTTTGGCGTCAGATACAGTCACACTTAAAGCAGTATTGGTCCCTCAGCTGCTTCCGGCTCTCCTCACTGGTTATCAGCATATCCAGGTAGCAGATGGTGAGCTCTTCTCCCACCTCGATGTCTTGGACTACATGCAGTAAGTTTATCTTATGTTTTTGGTCCTGCATTCTTTTCTCCCAGTTGTTAAAGACTTTAAAGGCTGTGTCCAATAGTTATAGTTGAGGGGTTTGTGGACCCCTTTCTAATTTTTGGAGTTTGTGCCAGTGCTGACTGAGAGATAAAATACATCCAAAAGAACTTGTCCTTCCAGTCTAGTCTGCTTATTAACACCTATTTTGTAGTTAGCTAACAGGATTCACTTATATGATTCCTTTACTTCCGTCTGTGAAAGTTGAACTTGAGAGAAATTTATCATAAGAAGACAACAAAGAAGAATTTTTAACATCCTTTTGTCCGAGCCACCCCCTTGAGAAGGGGGGTTGAGAAGTCTGGAGGTTGGGGTTAGGTGCTGTGGCCTTTGGTACCCATCCCTTCTCCAAAGGTAAAAGAGAGACTGGAGGCTGGGGTCAGGTGCCGTGGCCTTTGGCACCTGCCCCTTCTCCAAAGGTAAAAGAAAAAGACTGGAGGCTGGGGTCTGGTGCCATGGCCTTTGGCACCTGCCCCTTCTCCAAAGGTAAAAGAGAAAGACTGAAAGTCAGAGCTAGACACCACGGCCGTAGACGCCTGCCCTTCCTTCCCAGATGAAGGTGAAGGGACTCACAGAACAAATTACAAGAAACAAGAGTAGTAGGGAAGGCAGGAATTTGAGTTGTAGGAGGAATAGGAGAGGACAAAGGAAGTGAAAGCCCTTATTTTGTTTATATTTTTCTCCGGTCTACTCCCTTGATTCAACAGGATTCATGCCACCCATCTCAGTCTTTGGGTTACTGGGGGCATTTCAAATGAATTGATCAGGAATCCAAACAGGAGTTGATGCATCCTGTGGAAATATGCAAGCATATTCTTTCCCACTGGTTAGTAATATATCAGGCCCTCTCCATTGGCCTGTGAAAAGATCCTTCCATTTTCCCATAGGCTTAACATTTCCTTCTGGGTTCCAGTGTCTAGACATAGCTGAATTGCCTGAAGAATCCAAATTTAAATGGTTTATAACAAATAAAGCATGATTTAAAACATGATGAGGAGAACTATACCTAAACTCCCCCTCTTGTAATTTATGTATTTGATTTTTTAAAGTTTGATGGGCTCTTTCAACTATAGCTTGACCCTGCAGGTTATAAGGAATTCCTGTAGAATGAAAAATATTAAATTGAGAACAAAACTGTTGAAAAGATTTTGATGTATATGCAGGACCATTGTCAGTCTTAAGTTGTTTTGGCATATCTAATTGTGAGAAACAAAAAAATAAATGTTGCACCACATCCTTGTAAGCTTCTCCAGTTCTTGCTGAGGCTAAAATAACATGAGAAAACGTATCCATGGTAAAATGCACATAAGACAATTTTCCAAATGTAGGTACATGAGTTACATCCATTTGCCATAATACATTAAGTTTTAATCCTCATGGATTATCTCCTACTGGAACATTAACAAAAGTAGGACATGCTGGACAATTCTTGACAATCTGCCTTGCTGCTTTCCTATATATCTGAAATTCATAACATAAAGCAGTAGCATTTTGATGATGAATATTATGAGATAGTAGAACTTGAGTGACTGCCTCT